CATAAATTGTATTCTTGATTTCTTTATAACCCACTAATCAAAAAAGTAACCCTGGCTTTAACGTTCCCTAAATTTGTCGAATGTGATCGACAAAACCTGACACTAAATCCCTAACCTTATCGTTATTCGTTATTAACCTTAAAAACATGCTTTAAAGATTCCAAATATGGAAATAATCTTTCGATACGTAGTCTCACAATTGATAAACAATTTATTTGTGTTTTACGATACTTCTACGTGAGTAAATATAACGAATGAATGAATGCTTATTCTTTAATCCCCGTAAATCCCACAACTTGTTTACTGCAAACAATATGGAAATCATTTCCATATCTGGGGGATGGCTAAAGCCAAGTACATCAGGAGATTACTAAAATATATTTAATTAAAGTTAATTTAACATTTAAATTAGGGTCAATATAGGTTACGATTATCCCAAGGCGGACCCCCGAAGTTCGGGTGTCCAGGACCCGCAGTATCATGTTGAAATGAAGTTTTAAGACGTGATAAATAATATTTTTCTAATAAAATGATCTCTTCGGTGATAATAATTATATAGTTCAGAAAGGTCATTTCCAGTGAAGATTACAAATATTAGATACTACCATCAGTAAGTACATTTTTACATAGATCTATGTAAAATTTTTATGTAAAGTTATGTAGAATTTTTATTGAGACGTATAAAAATTATAAACTCAATGTAGATTTACATAGTTATTTATAATTATTATATATATATTTCTATATAGAATTATATAAAATTGCAAAAATTTTTGTTAATATTAGAGCTAAAATAATTTTTTTTAGAAAATTGATATTCCCACACCCTTTTTAATATTGCCACACCCCTGTTAATAAAAATCAATATAAATTATTAGGGTTTGGTTAGTGTTAGGGTTAGCAGTATCAAAAAAGGGAGTGAAAATATCAATTACCTTTTTTTATTAACATCTTGCGAGCCTCTAATAAAAGTTGTAAAGCTAGTTTTTGTGATTCTGATAATAGTTATACTGGTAAAATTAGTTGGTTAGATAAAAAGGTATAACCAATTTAAATTTAACAATTTTTATAAAACCGTAGAAATCACGATTCCTATATTAATATATTTTATTATACTTTATTATAAAATCTCTCCAGACTAATATTCTCGTTTAGTGACTCATCACACCGTGTATGTACACAATATAGAAAGCCAAACAGGTGTAACGTGAATTTATTGCTTTATCTAAAAAAATTGCTTATGTAGCAAATTTTCGAAATGTTCGATTATGAAACCACCTTTTGGGCTCTAACAAAAAAAAAAAAAATCCTTGTGAAATTTTGGTATAAAGTATTTCCTTCTTCAATCCCAAACGAGCTCTTACCCTAACCATAAGCAGGGTTTAAATTATTATTTTATAAAAATTGTTTCAGGTTTGCAAACTAAATATGTGTGTACAATTAGAAATTTTCCATATTGATATTGAATTATGTACGTATAAAAATTCTAACATAAGTCTACAAGTTTACATAAATTTTTTTTATATAACATATATAACTTTATAGAACTATATAAATTTTATAAAATTGTACACTTTGTGATGGTGGCGCTGGACACCTGAACTTCAGGAGTAGGGATAGGAATCGGCTATGAGATTTAGTCGACTAAATCGACTAAACATAGTAATTTACATATACAGTAATCTGTAGCTTACGACTAAGATAGGTACTATATATAAAAACACCATCCCGACATTTTACTTAATTCATCAAAATAGGTTTAAACGTCCGTTTATTGTTTTACTTTCTTTGATTCGTGTAAAAAATAAATTCACGATTTTGATTGGTCGTAGGCCACGTAGCCTACTCCCATTTTTAGACTTTCTTGTTTTCACACAGATGTTCTGGTAATTGAGTAGCATTCTTCACCCGTTCTATATTGCATAATTTGCATTTGTAGCGTTCTTTATTCTTTTCAATTCTCAAAATATATTGTTCCCGCATATCAGCTTTTCTTGTTTAGAGCCATTCTTATTCTGTTATAAATTTAAAATATTTATTTTAGGGAAACTCTATTTTTTGCCCGGATTAAAGATACCCAGTAAGCTATAATGTCATTTACGTAACTAAAAATTAATACATTTTGTGTGACTTTAACCAGAATGGATGATGTAAATAACATTATAGAAGACTTTTACGTAAACTTGAAATTACGTAAAATTACATAAGGTACCAATCCGATATGTGGAAATAATTCACTAAGCAGGTGTGACCTTCCCAAATATGGGAATCGTTATCGGATCGTCTAAAAATAAATTATACGGTTTTTTGGTCACGTTTACCGTAAAGGGCCATATTAAAGTTCCATATATCAGATCCCCTAGAAATTAGACCTGCATTAATCAAGCCCTGGTTTTTTTCAAATATCTAGACTACTTGCAATAGGTTTTAAAATTAGTGGAAATAAGAAATCAGGTCTCGTATATTACCCTTTACGGTAGTATTATTTAAAGCTCGTACGTGTATTCTGTTGTCTAAAGAATTCATTTTTAGACATCCTGATTCTCATTTGTGGTACCCATTTTAATACAAGCATTTTTACGCAATATAAACGAATGAGGCTACTTCTTATATGCTCACATTTATTATTCATACCCTTTAACAAAACAAAAGCTTTTGACGAAGATATTTTGACAACCACTAATTAAACACGATGCAAATTTTTTTATTTGGATTCTCTAGATTCATAGAATCAAAATAATAAAAAAAGTTTATTGAATTTTATCAAGACCAGACTGAAACAGATAGTAACATTCTTATTGTTGTTACTTAACTGTTTAGCTAGTTAATGGCTATTGCTATTGGCCAAATGAGAAAAAAAATTTATTAGGCTGAAATGGCCAAATATTCATATAGAAAAGCTAGCAATATAATTGGTTAATGTTATATGAGTTAGAACTCTTGATTGAAGTTTGGCTACTAGCCATTATCTATTTTAGCTGGCCAAAGGCCAAAAAAGTTTTTTAGCTACAAGAAATTGCTAAAGCTACCCAAAATAGATCTCTGTAATAAAATTTTTAATTCTTTTGATCACTAAAATTTTGCTAGCAAATTCTTAATAATATTATAGCTAAAGTTAAATATAAAACAAAAAATTCTCATAATCTTGTTTTTGTTTAAATATTATGCATGCATATCTGTATACATATTACTTTTTTGATACAGCTTCTCATGACCAACACTATAAAGCCTGTGATTTAAAACTATAAAACTGTCTAAAAAATTAATTATATAATAATATATTAACAAATTTTATCTTAAAAGTTTAGTATATATTTTGACAATAGTTAAAAATCACATTTAGAATAGAAAAACTGTATTTAGAAAAAACTAGCTGTAATTTCTTTTGAAAAGATTTTCTATATATAGATAAATAAAAATTAAAAATTAAAAATTAATACAATATTTATCACAGATGATACTAACTAAAATTTAAATAAGTTTAGATTTAGAATTAGAGTTTTTAATAAACAAGTAAAGGTCATTTTAGTAAAGCTTATTTTTTAAAGTAAGTTTCCAAATTTCAGTATTATTTATAACAATAATTTTTAATATAAATATAAAATAAATCAAAATCATCATAATTTTTATTTAAGTATAGTACTATGCATGCCTATTTGTATACATAATACTATTTAAAATACAGCTTTCAACAACCAGTACTATGGCATTATAATTTAAAACTATGGAACTAGCTAAAAAAAATAAATCATATGACAATATATTAATAATAATACAAAATAAAAAAATTTATTAATTTGATAAAATTTGGTTGTAAAAAACTTAAAGAGTTATATACAGTTAGTATGGTTAAGCTTCTCTAAATGCAATCTGTAAAGATCAGACTGTAACTTGTATTGATAAAATAATAAAAACAATTATATCTCTGAAAGTTTGGTATATATTTGAACAGAAGTCAAAGTTTATATTTAAAGAAATATGAAAGCTATATTTGAGAAAACTAGTTGTAATTTCTTTTAAAAAGTTCTTTCTTATATATAAACATATGAGAAAAAAAATAAGAAAAAATAAGGGCTTATTACTGTAATAAACATATCTGTTATAGCATTATGAGTAAACTTAATAATATAAAAGAACTTTGTTTTTAACAAGTATCTTTTATGCCTTTAATTTATTTACAATTAAAAAAAAAATTTTAAAGAAATGTAATTGATTATACTCATTCAAATTATATGTTCTATAATAGATTTATTAAATAAAAATAAAAACAAAATAAAAATAAATAAAACTTTATAATAACAGCAAATAAAACAAGATGAATAAAAGATCAGAATTATGAAAAAAAATAATCATACCAATAAAAACAAAACAAGAAATATGTCAATGAAAACATGATGTTTCATCTCTTACTATTGATTAACTTGTTTCAGAATATAGCTGTGATTGAAATACAATTTCAAAAATCTTAAAAGAAAAAGAAAATAATTATCTATGCAACTAATGAAGTTTAAAAAAAAAAATTAATTAACTAACAAAATTTACTAATTTAGAAAATACTATAGCTATTTAGACAAAATGAGTCCTTTTACAAAATGAAATACTAACCAATGAACTTTTACAAATTCAAGTCAAAAATTTTGCAATATTATTAAACATATCTGAAGATAATTTTAAGACAAGCCAAGATTAGATAGATAAATTTAAAAAAAAACAACTTTTAAAGATTTAAATTTAAAAGAAAATCTAAAAGTGCATCTATAAAAGATCTTGCTAATTAAAAGCAAAAGTTAGCTGAATTACTTTTACAATATAAGCCTAAAGATGTTTATAAAGCTAATAAACTTATAATGCATATAAGTTTTAATAAACAATATTTTATATAATTTTTTTTAATATATACAAAATACTGGCATTGTGAAAGTTTAATTAATATTATAGTATTATTTGATTGAATATGTAGTCCAAATTGTATTCTTCTATTCAAACCTACAAATTAAAATATGTCTTATAGTATTTAAAAAATAAAAAATAAAAAATAAAAAATAAAAAATAAAAAATAAAAATAAAAAATTACAAATATAAAACTTAATTTATTAAAACTTATCATAAAATTATATAAATTTATAAAAAATTATAGTAACTTTACAATCTTAATTATAGAATATTGCCTAATCAAACATTTGTAACAAAATTAGTAAAAGAACAAAAAAAGGTTAAGAATAGAATAACTGTTCTTTTTTGTATAAATGCAACTAGTATAGATAAACTCAAACTGTTAGTTATTAGAAAATTATTTAATCTATATTGTTTTAAAGATATCCAAAAAAAAATCTTGAAATTGAATATGATGTTAGTAAGAAAGCATGAATGATAGGAGAAATTTTTGAATATTGAATAAAGTTACTAAATACTACCTTTATACTAAAGAAAAAAAATACTTTTACTAGTTGATAGTGTCACATCTCATTCAAATTGTGAACTTGCTTATATTAAGCTTTATTTTTTACTATCTAATATGATCATTATTTACAATCATGTGATGCTAGAATAATATACTTATTTAAATTCCACTATCATAAATTATTTCTTTAAAATATCCTTAATGCAATTAATAGTAAAAAAAAGATATCTTGCATTAGCCTTTTAGATACAATCAGGTATTGATATAAATCAAAAATTAATTATTGATTAACTAGCCAATTTGGCAACTAATTAATTTAAAATTTTTTTTTAAAAATAATAATAATAAATAAATTAAATAAATAAAATAAATAAATAAAATAAAATAAATAAATAAAAACAAATTAAAAAATTAAAAAAAATTAAAAAAAATTTAAAAACTTAAATAAAATAAAAAATTATTAATTAGGTTCATTACAGAAGCATAAAATTGTATTACTTCTCAAATGATCATTAATTATTAAAAAAAACTGAAATAGTGCTATCAAATAAGTGAAACTACTTAAGTTAGAATATACTAAACTATAACAATAAATTAACTAAAGTTAAAGCTAAAGTTGAATTTGAAGTTGAAGCTGAAATTGAAGCTGAAGTTGATATTAAAAATCTTATTTTCAAAATTCTATCCAATTATATAAATGTAATGTCTGCTAATGATTATATTTAAATTAATAATATTCTTAAAATCAAAGAGATTGTGTTAGATGAGGCTGCTATTATTAAAGAGATTCTTTATAAATTAGATTTAAGTAGTAGTAATAATAGTAATAAAAATGATGTTGAAATTACAAAAATTCCTCATTTAGTTGACTTGAAACAATGTAATTTACTAATACAGTATATAAAACAACAAAAACTAGAAATATTTGTAAAGAACCAAGATTTACTACAATTGCAAAGTTTGTTAAAATGAATTTGCCTGAACATATTCAAATCAAAAGAGCAAAAGAAGATAACTGATTTTTTTTAAAGATATTTTTTATTAAATGATTACAAAGAGAAGTATGTTATATTTCAAAAAGAACAATAGTAACAGAAAAGGTTAATCTATAATATTTTTTTTTTATATTTGTTTTTTTTTTATTATCTTTTTATTTTTTATAAATTAAAAATTGTGTAAGGGTAGAAATATATATTGGCAATAAAGATATATCAAAAAACACTATTGTCACTTACTATATTTATCAAATATATAAGTTGTGCAATATTACTGTATAGTACTGCTTATAGTATCTCATAAATATATAATACTTTATGATTAAGACTCTAGTACTATTTACTATCCTATTGGGTCTGTTTCTTGAATAAGATCTGAGATATAACTCTATTAATTTATTATTTTTCATATAGTACCTGATTTCATACAGATACTAACCAATTTAAAAAAAAGTTTTAAATAAAACTTTAAATACTATAAGCAGTGCTATATGGTATTATTATTGCTTGTTCTTATAATTATAATATTTATATTATTAAACAAAAGTAGAATTAGTAATGTAAAAAAATATTTAGCTTGCAAATATAATACATAAAATAGCTTTATCTTGAATAAATAAAAATATATGTATAAGAATAGCAATTCTAGTATAGTGGTTAAGTTGTTATCCTCCAAGTGGCAGGTCTAAGGTTCAAATCCTACCTACAATAAAATTTGGAAATTATATCTGCATTATAATAACTGTCTTCTGTTGATCAGTTGGCCTTATGTGGCTGTAATTCAGATACATCAAGTCAGGTTCTACTAACATTGAGAGCTTGAGGCATCTATATAAAGTGTAACATTACACATATATAGAAGAATGTATAACTGGTGCTGCATAAGACTTTGGTGCAAACTCATAATAAAACTATTGAGTGTAGAGGACTAAGGAACTGAGATGATGAAAATCCACTTGGAAATTTCTGAGTAAAGAAGTAGCATAAACTTTGATAGTACTATCAGACTGTTGAAGCCTATGAAACACCTTCATAGGAACCAAAGATTAAACCAGATGTCAAATATGTGTAGAAAAGCATATAACCAACCAGGCTGTCAAATTCACTAAAGGAAAAAGAGACAGAAGTATATTATACTGGGCCATCTGAATTGGTAGTCTGAAAGAGACTGCTAGTTCTAAGTTGCAGCTAGTAGAGAATGAAAAAAAAGATGCCAGGAAGATAGGTACTAAGGTTCTAGTAAACTTTACAAAGGTAAAAATAGTGTAATATAGTGGTTAAACAGATAACTTCTATAACTGCAAGTGTTAGATAACTATACTGTATTGCATAAAACTAGGTCTATATGTGTAGAATATAAAGGCTTTAGTAAGTTTTCTGTCAAGAATAAAGTAGTTCTAAGGGTAATGACCAGTATCAAAAACTTGGATAGGTGTAGCCTTGAGATGTTCTTGTAATACAAAGAGAATTGCATATGCAGAGAGTTTAAATAGGCAAAACTCTTAGTTGGCTTGCATTTATGGCAACTAGTGTAGAACTTATATAGCAATGTGTAAGCAGACTACTTAAATTAGATACCAAAAGTACACATGTGGCTAGTTGTAACCTCCAATATATAGGTAACTCCTGGTGGCATGCCATGTTCTATAATACTTGAATAAAAATATCATATCCCCAAGACAAAGACTTTAATTATAAAAAAAAAATAAAATAAAAATATATGCACAACTCAAATGCTCTTAAGTATAACTTATCTAATATACTTTGTGAAAAGTCTTTCTAAGTACATGCCTTTACTTAAACTATTTAATATAACATATGTAGATTTTTATTGCATGTTTGATTAGTCTTTATATATAGTCTTATTGCAATACATTTAGAGAAATCTATGTTATAAATTTAGCAACTTGAAATTAGAAAGCAAATACACTAATTTAGTAAAATTTATATTATAATTTTAATCTAAATATATAATAAATAATCCAAAATTAGATTTAAAATACTAAGTAATTTGAAAAAACATTAGTTGGTTAAAGTAAATAAAAAGTATATATTTATCTTTTGATTTAAAATATATTTTCTAATTGGTTAAAGCTTTGTAATATATAAATTACTAATCTTTTTTTGTTATCAACTCCTGCATATATCAATCAAATTACCTAATTCAAACAGGTTAATATTAATAAGGGTAACTTGTATTAGGTAGACTTTGAGTTTAAGTAGAGTGTCTAATTGCAACTGAGTATAAGAGGTCCAAATAATTGGCATTAATGTTAAAAGTTTTGTCATGTATATTGACTTGACCAAAAAATTAAATTGAGAGATTAGTAAAAATACTGATTTTACATTTGTTATTTATTATTTGTGAATTAAGAAAACAGCCAGAATATATATATGATTGAATAGATGCAAGAGAATATAAGCAGATAAATTGTGATTCAATTTGATATTGCCAGTAAATGATAAGCACAGTACCAGATTGAGAAAGCTGTCTTCTGGCTTTATTTGTAATGATTTAATTATCAAGTACTATAATAAGCTAGGGTTTTTATATGATAAAAAGTGTTCAATTGTGTAACTATAGTAATTAGTATTAGGTAAGTAAGTATAGGTGTAAATATAGTATACAGTTGTAGAAATGACTTGTAACTTAGTTTTCTAAATAAGTAAACCAAAAAGATTGTTTGTCTTTTAGAATTTTATAAATATAGAAAGAGATGTATTTCCAATTTAGTAAGTATAAGTTATCAAATATAATACAGTAAGTTGGTTTAAATATAAAATGCCATAATACTTGAATTGTTTTTTGAAGTTTAGATATTTAGAATGTAAAAAAAAAAGAGATTTTAATAAGATAGAACTCTCTTAAATAATATGTAGAATGTTATAAGTTGGGTTAGAGATAAATGTTATACCAAGATGTTTGAAAAGTTAAATAATTTTAATGTTAGCAGAATGTTTGTTTGGTTCATTAATAATAAAGTTGTTATAAATTAGTATATTAGTAAGTAATCAAAAATTATTTTGAAGTTGCTAAAGTTTAATGCAAGTACTAATACCAAGAAGATTAAAAGAGTTAAGTCTTTTAATATAGTTTATAATATGGTATTGTAGTTAGATATTCTATATGTTTTGAATATTGTATAATTAAGAATAAAGTAAATAACTAATAGGAGTTGTACAACTAAGTTTGGCTTTGTTTTTAATAAGTCTAATGTGGTTTGTAAAGATTTGTTGCAAGTGTTTTGATTAAGAATTATGTTGTAAAGGCAATATTAAATTGTAGAAATAATAATTATATTAATAATATATTATATATATATATTAGTATTTTGTTTAATGTTTGTAATTTTAATAAGATGTAAAGACTTAGTCATAATAAGCTTTGTTTGTTTTGTTTGTTTGTTATTAAGTGTAAATCAGCATTTTAGAAACTTGAATAGATCATTTGAAGAATAGAAGTTAAGTAAATGGTTATTATATATAATAGAATTATAGTTAGTTAGAGATTTATTAGTTGTAAATATGAATTTAGTAAAATTAATTTGAATGTTAGTCACATTATAGAAAGATTCTGTTATGATAAGAATTTGTAAAAGCTTTTGTTATAAGGATACAATTCAAAGAGTGTTATTCATATAAGCAAGAACTAAGCAATATAATTCAAATTTGTTATATATTGAATTTTTAAGATTGGTTAGTTAAAAAACTTTTGTAGTATAATTATTAAAGTTGTTGTAAATGTATAAAATTAGTAGGTTATAATAAATTTTCTACAAGAAAGAAATAATAATTTCATCCTGATTAATACTATTAAGCATAAGATATAAATGTATAAGGCCAAAATTTGTAATAACTTAATTTTGTTAATTAGTAAATAAGTTAATAATAGTGATAAAAATAGAACTAGAAAATGCAAGACACTGAGAAAAATGTTAAAAAGATTCAAATTAACAGAATTATAGGCTTTACTTATATTTTAAGATAAAAGCCAATTAGTTTTTTAGTTGTATAGTGTATTCTTAATAATATTGTTAAATATATAGATAGATGTAGAGGTATTGTTATTAGATAAAGTGATATAGTTGTATATTGAAAGTATAAAATGTTTTAAAAGTATATTATTAATTCTATTAGTAATAAGTTTTGTATAAACTTTTGAGTATGTTCAATAAGACTTATTGGATAAGTAAGGTTAAGTCTCTATTAAATATATTCTGTTTAGAAATAAGGTAGATTTGCTATGCTTTTATTGTTTAGAAGTTTGATCTAAAACAAGACAGTAGTTGAACAAAGTAGTTATAGTTTTAATGCAAATAGTACCTGCATGTTTAAGCATTTTATAACTAATGCATATAGAGCTACAGGCTTTTTTGTTAAAAAACTTTGCTATAGTTTAAGTAACTTTTTTTTTAGTAATAGGAGAAAAAAGAAAATCATGATATTAAGTATTGATATATGATAGTAGTTGATATTGTGTAGACTAAAAGTTATCAAAGAGGTTTTGATCAGTTGGTTAATAAGCTGTCCAATTATAAAAATAAGATTATATATTATTAAAGAAGAATTGAATTTGTAAAATACAGAATCAAGGAAAAAATGATGGATTGTTACTTAAAAATACCAAACATTACAAAATGTTGCATTATAAATAAGGCAGAATGATTTGACAAGGCTAAGGCATAAGTGCAAGATCATAGTTTATTACTAAGATAGTTTTTATTACTAATACAGGTATTACTAATAATGACTATTCTTCTTTCTAACTCTAAAAAAAGATGCACTTATATACAAGAATGGTGCTTCACAAAAAGAAATAGTACAGAGGCCCAAAATTAAATATTTTCCTATCAAACTCAACAGTTTCAAATCTGTTATTATAATTAGAACCTTGAATGGCCTTCTATAGTACAAACAATTAGCCCAATCTGGCAGATCTACTTCAACAAATGGCTATAGTTTAGTTAAATGGTTTGT